TTGTTGTTGGATTAGGGCTCTCCTAGTGTACTCTTTTTTTTTTTTTTTTTTTTTTAAACACAATGCCTTTTATTTTTATGTGGTGCTGAGAATCCAACCCGGCATCTCAGAACACTTGAGAATGTTTTTTAACATCTCTACTACCCAATTAAATTCAAAATGTCTTGACATTCAATAAATACCAATAATAGAAAGAAATAGATAAAACCAATAATGAGAAGAAAAATCAATAATTCAAAATTGATCCAGATCTGAAAACTCAAGGTTGGGATCAATATTTGTATTTCTACAGTGCCTGGGACTTAGGAGGTAAAAAAATATTTGTTGACTTTTTATAAGAATGTAATTCTTTCAAGTGGCTTTGTGATTAAGGAAGTAAGTTGGAAGTTGATTAGGAAGAAAAGAAGTTGAATACATATGAAAATATGTATATGGTAAGCGTGGTGGTGATGGTGGTATAATTGAGGAAAAGTACATGATTGGGCCAGTTTGACCAATGAACTAAGATCAGTAGTTTTTCAGTTTTTGTTTTTCTTGGATTCATTCCCTAGGCTGCTCTGCTGAAAACCAGGAAAATAGTTATTGCCAAAAAGATGACCTGGCTTGCTTGTTTCATTGAAGATCAGAGAAAATGACCACGGTTAAATTTTAAGATTTCAAAGGAGGGACTTAAGGAAAGGGGAGTTTATTTTTCATACTGGGGATCGAACCTTACCACTGAGCCACATCCCCAGTCATTTTCAGTTTTTATTTTGGGACAGGGTCTTGCCAAGTTGTTAGCCTCAAACTTGCTATTCTCCTGCCTCAGCCTTCCAAGTGCTGGGATTACAAATGTGAAATTTAACTCAATTTTGACACTATCAACTTGGAATTAGTGTCACATTCCATAGGTAAGAGATGAAACCTATAAGATTGCCTGCTGCCTCCTCATTTTTAGATATTAATCCAAGTGATAGACCTACAGGTTACCTACAACTTCTGACTTGGATACCAATTGAATATTCCCATAGCCCCCTCCTCAATTTCAATCTTTTGCTTAAACAGCTCACAGAACTTGGAAAAATGACTCGGAAAAGTTTATGAGGTTTATTATAGAAGGACATAACTCAAAAACATCCAGATAGAACAGCTGTATAACAAGAAGGGATGTGGAACATCATTTCCTCTCCAGACCACTCTCCCATCATTTCTTACTCACCAAACCTTGTCATTTGGGAACTTTGTGGAGGCTTCATTAGTAGGCATGACAGACTAAATTGTTGAATATTGGCAATTAAGTCAGTTTTCAGTCCCTGGAGGTCAGAGGGTGGGACTGAAAATTCCAACATTCTTGCTGTCTGTTCTTGAGGTGGGGCCTTGGGATCTTGCTATGTTGCCCAGGCTGGTCTTGAACTCATCCTACTGAGTTGCTGGGATTACAGTCATGCCATGCTCAGCTGTCTTTTTTTTAGTTTTTGTTTTGCTGTGGTGGGCATTGAGCCATAGGACTTACATGTGGCAAGCACTCTACAACTGAGCTACATTCTCAGTCCTGAAAGTTCCAAAAATTTTTTTAATATATATTTTTATATAGTTTTATTTTATTTACTTATTTTTATATGGTGCTGAGGATCGAACCCAGTGCCTTGCATGTGTGAGGCAAGCGCTACTGCTGAGTGACAACCCCAGCCCCAAAGTTTCAAAATAATCATGTGATTATTCCCTTGGAAACCATTTCCTATCTTGAGGCTATCCAGGATTCCCCCAACCATCACAGTATCTCAGCATACCAAAAGAAAAATTACTTCAGAGATTACAAGAATTTGGGGGGCTGAGTGCCAAGAAATGACTGAAACCAAATACATTATACCCATCTAAGTTCTTCTCACCTTATGACATCCAAACCCAAGTAAAGTCCTACTTTTAACTATGTCAGAAATAGTCACCAATCCAGAACTATCCCAGATTCCTTAGGCTCTCCACTGAATTCTGTCATATTTTGTTTGAATATCTTGTAGCAGACTTATTGGTGACTGGTGACTGCCATAGAGAATGACTCAACAAAAGAGATGCAAAACGGAACCAGACACCAAGATTTTATCCTGCTTTTATGTTTGGTTTGATACTGAGGATTGGTGCGCTTTGCAATTGAGCTACATCCCAGTTGTTGAGTGTACTACATCGTTAACATAGATCAACACTTTGTATCTTTCCATGATCTCAGAATTGTAAAACAAATCCACAGGCTACCTCACTTTCCTCAGTGGCACTTCACTGAATACTTGTGGGTCACCTGGTAGTTATAAGCCAGGCAATCACAAATTTTTTTTATTCCAATCTTAATTTCTAATATCTATCCCACCTAGTGGGATGCTTGGCTTAAGTGTTATAGATATAAGAAATTAAGAATTAAGGGTTAAGGCAACCACAGGAGTTCAGGAGTCTGAACTTCATGAGAGCAATGGCAGAGAGCAGATATGAATGTAAATGATCTATGTAGATGGTCAGATAAGATTATGAACCAGCCAAAGACCTTGCTCAGGGTGCAGAGCTGTCAAAGCACAAGAAGTTATTCTAGGCCTAGGACAGTTTCACAGTATTATGTAGAGTGGAACTTGCATGCTTGTCATGGGAGGAGAAACCACTCTGCTAAAACCCAAGGAGAGATTCAGAGGTTTAGTCATGGGTGATTTTCCTGGGCAAGACTCATGAATAACCAGGTGATGGGGTCAGGGTGCCACTATCACTGTGTCCAATCTGGGGGTGCTTCTTCTATGGTCCTCAAGTTAAGGGGGTTGCATTATTTGGTGGTCTGGTGTGTTCAATAAGCTCATAGGCCTCCTTTTTCCAATATGAGTTTTATATCCCATGCATCCATGTATTTCTGATTAATTAAGCTCACAGATGATCATTCTTTTTATTTTTTTTTAAATTTTTTTATTGCTCAAAACATTACAATGATCTTTGCCGCAAACTGCCCGGCCCCGGGCCGGCTGAGTCCCGCTCCTGCTGCCGAGCACTGCCTGCGGCACCCCTGCTGAGCGATTCCCTGCTGAGCTGTCAGTGCACGCGGGCTTGCAATCTTGCAACCCGGTTGGGCACAAAAACACAAGCCAGTCAAACTGAGACAAAGTTTTATTTAGAGAGAGGCCGTGTGCGTCCCCTAACAGGTGGGTCCGCCACGTGTGTGTTCTACCT